GTCCCCGATACAGACTTCAGTTGGCTGCTGCAACTTCACCAATCTCCCATCCAAGTGCATCTTGCTGACAGCCTTGGGAGAGATGAAGTTCCGCGTAGCCCCACAGTCTAATAGGCCTTTGACCGTGGCCCCCAGGATGGAAGGTCGCGGCAAGATGAGGTCTGATTTATGCTTCTTCTGTTCCTGCAAAGACAAGAAAAGATAAGCAAAAGTCTGACAATCATTTTCCTCCCATGTCTCATCCAGGTCAGGGTCCATGTAAGTAACGGATCCTGACTCAGCAGCTCCAACAGAGTCAGTGAGGGTAGATGCAGATTCCGACTCATCAGAATCTGAATCAGCACAAGTGGAGGGAGCTGCTAACTCCACTTCCCTCTGCTGGTCTAGTTTCTTGAACTAGAACCAGGTTTGCGAGGCATATGGGGACAGTCTTTCAGAAAGTGGTCCCCCTCGCAATGAAAACAAACCTCACGGTCCTTCCTCCTCTGCCATTGCCCCTCCTCGATCCTGAGCGCTCTCCAGGGAAGGGTGGAAGGATCCATGGGGTTAACTGGCCAATGGACGTCTCGTGGTAAATTAGGTCTCTAGGCCTGAGGGGAAGTGGCGCGTCCCTTCCCTTTCCCCTTGTGACTGGCTGAGCTCTTGCTGTTGTTGTTCCCCATCTTCCCTTTGAACATGGCAGCAAGGTTCTCCGCCAGGGCAAGAACGGCTGGCTCAACTGTTGATACTGATGCAGTCTCAGATGGAGGACTGCCACGTTGAGATGCATCAGAATCAGATCCTGCATCAACAACCAACAAAGCGCCCTTCTTCCTACGCTGTCCCCTGGAAGAGGGCCGCCTCCTTCCATCAGAAGGTTCGTGAACCTTGAGCCGAGACTCCAGGTCCAAGTCCGTTTTGCCAAACGACCTCCAATCCTAGTGGCCCTGAGAATACAGAGCAATGGAGTAGTCTGGAGGCGCTGCGCGCAGGAAGTGAGTGAGCTGGTCATACTCACTCATCTCCCGACCGGGTGTAGCAGTCAAGCTCTCAAACCGACTGTAGAGCTTGGACAGGGAACCCTCAAACATGCGTGAACCCAGCAGCCGTATCTTATCTGCTGCTTTTCGGGCCTGTTCCCTGTATGCAAATCCGTCTCTCAGGGCCTGCAGCAACCCCTCCACCATCAGCTGTTGTGCCCACTTGTCCATGGGCAGATTCTGTTTCGCTGCAAAGGATGTGCACCATTTCAGCGCAGTCCTCTCAAGACGCCACTGAATCGTCCCCACCTTTGTCACTTCTGGACAAACGAAGCTACCCAGGTACGCCTGCATCGCAGTAACCCAATCTAAATCGTCCACCTTGGGGTCTTCCCCAGAATACATAGGAGGTGGCGTCAGCTCGGGCTGTCGCTGATCAGACAGGGGACAGAGGTAGTGGACACATGGAAACCAGCAGGTGAAGTTGGACGACTGTGGGATAGTGAACCAGATTTTGGGATAGGTTGAAGAGGTTGGGGAGGAGGCACAGGGAGTTGCAGATGCTGCAGAATTTTGTTGACACTCGCTGTCAGGGAATCAAGGCTTGCTGTCAATTTATCGACCTTGCGGTCGATGGCAGAGCATTGATTCTCTACAGCGAGAATCCGTTGGTCCCAGTTAGAAAAGTAAGACCTGTTAACAGCGTTTGTTCACAGCACCAACTCAGCAGTATCCTTACTATGCTGATTGGAAGTACCGTTGACAACAACTTTCTCCACCTCTTTACGTAACTGTCTTCTCCTCTCCTCCATCCTGCTAGCCTCCTCAACTTCCTTCATCTCCTTTTTCAACCGCTGGACATGGGCCTCTGCCTTTCTGTGGTTTTCCTCTGCTTCAAGCAAGGCCTATTCCAAGGCGGAGGGAGGAAGTGGAGGAGGGTGAGCAGAAGGTTCCCCTTCCTCAACCTTTGTCTCCGCATCAGCCATCGTTACTTACACCCACACAGTCAAATAAATAAGACCCGCAGAAACAAGGTCAACAAAAATTAATATTACAACACACACACACAAGGATGCAATCACTGCCACCTGATCAAAAGAGACGTGGTGTGATAGGCAGAAGAGCGCTCAGCCTCTGCAAGCTGCTGAGGGCTATTCTGGGTCAGTTTAGGGCAATCGCAGATAAAATCAACTCGCGATTTTTCATTCACAGCCCCGAACCCTCATCTGAGTGCCATCACCCCAGAATCGCTGTCAGAGAATCAGACAGGATGCAACCTAGGGCTGTAATTAGGAGAGTTAGAATAGCGCAGAGAGTAAGTAGCGATTAATACAACTCAGTAGTCAACCAAGATGCAGCGAATTACTAATGGAGCTATTTTTAGACTCCTACTACTGACACTGGCACAGTAGGACCCTGTATGCCTCACTATGGTTGAGGCGAAGTACAAACATCACTGTATCTGACTCAAAACATCAATCCCAGTAGAGCACTTTCAAACACTATACTGAATTGCGATTTCAGGGTGACTGAAAAACTGAAATTCTGACGGACAGAACCTAAGATATGACAAACCCTAGCTGCCCCAAGCACTAGCTATGGCAGCGCAATCTTCAAAATTCCATTATCACTGACAGATAGGTCCTCAACTATCCAATTCACAGTGTGTACTGAATCGCAATACTGTAAAACAGTCAGAGATGCACTTTGAGACAGAGAGGGGGTCAAACAGAGTCAGTAGAAGTCAAAGTAGATAGGTAGGAGAAATAGCTATGGCAGTCAGGCAGTGCAATTTTCAATTGTCACTGACTACAGACATCCAATTTCGATTTCTCTAGTGTAATTACAACTATCAGACTCGCTACAGAGACTCGAGTAAGGAACACACTTACTTCAAGGCAAAACACTTGAAGAAGAAGTTGAATTGGCTATGGTTGCCATCTCGCCAGTTTCTTCCATTCACTGTTCCTGGTGCTCCCACGTTCAAAATCTCCTGAAACTTGGTGATACTGAAGCTTTTGATATGGCGATCAATCCCCACTACTCAGATTCACTGAATCCAGCTCAGAATCTGAAACTCGACATACCCCAAGGTATCTCGCCACTAGCAAAATCAACGTCTGGGCTAAAAATAGCCCCTCAGTGCCTCCCAAGCCACTGAGCACTGAATCGCCACCAATCTCTGTGTCATACCAGCCTCCACACGCTCCTCACCAACACCCTACTGAGGGCAGTACGGAAGATGCGATTCCACCATGAAATCCAACGTCAGAAGTTACCACGTAGTGATGGCTGCTTCAGTTCATCATCTTGCCACTGTCTGGGTCCGATCTGCTCCGATACCAACTGTTATGAACATGATTGTCCGTTGAAATTTTGTCAACGCTCACTCACAGAACTCCCGTACACGCCCATACATGCACAGAAGGAAGGGGAGAGGTAGTGGAGTGTCACACCGCCCAACAGAAAGAACGCAGCGGAAGACTCAGAAGAGCGAAGTGATAGAACACACAACCCAGTGAATTCTCTCCACTCAAATCCCAACAATCATTCATAGAAGACAACCGAGAGATCACAACCAGAAGTCAATGAAGAGATAACAACTCGAACACAGTATTACAACTGTTTATTAAACTCGTTAGCTTCACTTCGAGGAAAGCGATTAAATTGAAATTAAATGTAGAGCATCGTTTTCACGGAATAACCTCAGAACCCTGTTGTGCTACCCTCAGAGGGGTAGTGCCTCAACCCCACACACTCTGGACAGCTAAAAAACGCACCAGAACCCTAGGTAACACCCAGCGCCACCCTCACATCCAACTCAGTGGCCTGCGCCAAGATGAAACAGGCTCCCAAAGCCAATCGCCACCCAGATGATGAACAAGAAACTCAGCGCCAACAGATCCTGATGGAGATGAAGTCCAGACAATGATATTCTGTGAGAAGATGCAGCTATGGCTGCATCGCCATTGGGACCCTACTCCTGAGGAGGGTCAGCAGTGCACCACGTGCTCCAAAGCATCAGACCCTTGATAGCCCAGACCGCTATAACTCCCAGCGAGTCAGAGCGGAAGCGTTGACCCCAGTCTGGTCAGCGCTCCGAAGGTCTGGCTATGTCCGTCGTCTCCCACGCATGTATCAGTCACCACGACCTGATGCCGCGTGCGCAGCAACTTCCACCACGAAGTGTCAACTGCCAAAAGCCCCGAACCGATTCTCTCAACCTATCTATACTCTACCGTAAGCCTAGACTCGACCTAGACTGGACTGACTGACCGACTGGTACCGTTTCTGTTTCGGCCCGTAGGGCCTCTCCCTACCCGGCTATAGGCTATAGGACCATCTATCAGCATAGGCCCATTGGGCTTGTCTGTCCTAGAGGTAGCCCAGGTCTGCTATTCGCAGTTAGGGTAGCCGTAGGAAATTCGAGTTAGTACTGGGCCCATATTTCCTATATTTACAAATACGTCCCCCACGAATTTTCCTTACAGGTAGGTCTCTCGGTTAGCCCTCAGCCAAACAAAATTACGAATCTGTCCCTACCTATGGTACAGCCTCGTCAGAGAGAGGCTACAGGCAACCTGGAACCAGCAAGTCATAGCACAGCAATACAAACGGGCCAGTTGTAACCCGATTAGGCTGCCCAGTCTCTTTTTTTCGGATACAGCAGTTAACCCACCCCATTAACACAGGCTCACCCTACCAGACGAAAAAGGCTTGGTGGTGCCAAGCAGCAAGAAAATATATTGCGCCCACTCTACTTCTTTCTTTTTGGGGCCACAACAGAAACCCGTCTTGGGAAAAAGAGACTAAGAGGGACCGGTGGTTTAAGCCCACGTCGCACAGGGACTGTTAGGACAAATATGATTAGAATTCAAACGACAAATGCAGAGCATCCAGTTCTCCTACTGCATCATGTAAAAGGCCCAAAAGTATGTTATTTCACACCAACACATGCTTGCATGCAAAAAAGACATTCAATGCCAAATGTTGATGGAGGCAATGACCTGAAACCAAAAAACATGCCACATCTCGACTCACCTCGTCAATGAACACAATTGAAGGGGCCTCTTTCTTTGCTCGAGCAAAAAGCTCACGGACTCGAGCAGCTCCCATGCCCACATATAATTCCACAAATTCACTTGCTGAGCAACTGATGAATGGCACATCTGCCTCTCCTGCCACAGCCTTGGCCAGCAATGTCTTCCCAGTTCCAGGAACGCCTACCTAGAAAAGAAAATGCAGTTTAGTGAGACGGAAAAACGTTTAATAGTGTGCATACCTCGCAGTTGCTCGCACGGCATTCCCAAGTCTGATTTCCTGCAATGAATCACTATTTACTAGCCTTTAGCTCTGTCCATGTGTTCTGTAAATATAATAGAGAATTCTGTAAATATAATAGAGAATGTCCTCTATACAGCAGCTGAGACAATGTGGACCATCCCTGAGACACACACAGAGACACTGTATAGACAATTTCAGTAACATTCCACTGCTCAAAGTTTTCATCCCAACTCACGTCAACCTCCAGTTCATCCTCATTCGAAATGTATGCAGTCCTACAGATGCACTGGTGGACTGACCCTGGGCCTTGCATCACAGACAAGAGGCCAGGACCATGCCATAATTGCTTTCGTTAGATGCATCCTAGTCCCAGTGGGCCAAAATCCACTGGGACTGCGCAAGGTTGGTGTGGCTCGCACCACATGGGCCGCCTTGGGCCTGGTAGGAGGTCAGGGGGTTGGCCAGGACATAGGGGGTTCGTTGATTCCTGATGGGCCTCAGCAGTGCTTCGGTTTCTTTTCCTGGCCGGCCTCAGTCCTCGTTCAGTCTGGTTCAGTGACTTTCCTCTTCATCTGAGTGTATCCGGCAGTAGAGTAGGGACTAAGACCAGTCCAGTGGCCATTTCTTAGGCCAGATCCAGAACCACACTTTTCAGACTCAATCTGGGCACCAGTTACTACATTTTCAGATTCAGCTTTGGCGCCAGTTACTACATTTTTCAGACTCAGGTGGGCGCCAGAACCACACCTTCAGATCCAGTTTGGTCGCCGGTTCCTTTACGTTCCCTTGGCCTAGCGCAGTAGGCCCAGCATTATATATAGCTGGGCCAGCCTCATTCTAGGCACGCAGAGTTGGAGGTAGAGTAGTCAACGCGCTGGGTGCACTAGTGGTAGCCTTCAGCACTGCGAGCTCTTCATGTTGACGACGTCGGCTTCGAGCTTGGGATGCAGCACACTGCAGCGGGTTCAGAGGAGTAGTGTGACGAGGCTGAGGCAGAAGCAAGGCAACGAGGCTGGGAGAGAGAGAAAGAGAGTGAGAGCACACACACACACACACTCAACTCGACGCTGACTCGACACGACTCGACGGACGCAGACATGAAGTGGCAAAGTCACAAAGTCGAAGCCTTGGATTTCCGAACACAATGTCAGGGCAAGTCACACTGAAGCACAAGCACTGAGGCCGCAAACTGAATGCCCGTACTGGGCTTGGGTCCGATCTCAAGTATCGGACTCAAGTTCAGTCCGATGGGCAGAAGTGCAATTTGCACAGGGCTGAACTGAAAATCGAAAGTTTAAAATGAGCGCCGGAATGCCGAATGGCGCCAAGTGTCCGAAATCAGAAAAATAAAACAAAGAGAAAATGTGTGCAGTGAACTGCGGGTAGCGTCCCGCAGACCAGGGATCGAGCCCTGGTGTAGTCCGTAACACTATCCCCTCCCTCTAGAAGGCAACGTCCCGGCTGCCAAAAATCATGAAGCAATGCTGAAATCTGTGAAGGACGGGACGGGGCCGATCACTGGTTAACAAGTCGAAAGGGAAGAGGGGTATAATGTGGGTGGCATGGGCTGCGGGAGTAAGAGGGAACAGGGTTTGGTACCGGTGGACAGGGTTGTCCTACTGATGAACTAGGGGGGGTTGCAGAGAACAGGGTAGTCCTACAAATGAACTAAAGGGACAGCAGGGAGCAGGGTAGTCCTACTGATGAACTAAGGGGATTGCATGGTTTGCTATAGGTTAAGGCGGAACAAAGTTCAGGGAACAGGGAACTTCTATTGATGTTCTACTGGGTAAGGGAAACGGTGTCCAGGAAAACAGGGTATTGCTAATGATGTTCTACAGGGTTGTCAAAGTCGGGAAGGAGAAAAAAAAATGAAAATGTTTGTTCAGGATCCAAGCCGCGCAAGCGCCGTTTCGATTAGCGCTAATTCGGAGCGCTATCTCGGGCACCTGCGCCGCGCTGAAACTTTCACGCGCCATCGCGTGCACCTGCGCCGCGGTGAATCTTTCACGCGCGAAAAACACGTGACGCACGCATTTCATCATCACGAAACGAACTCGTTGGTAACAAGGTGGGAAACAAGGGTGGCAAGCCAGCTCAACACCTCGCCACGCCCACGGGCGTGGCAACTCACACCCAAGCAAGCGGACAAAAAAGCGTTGGAGAGAGAGGGTGAGGGTATGGGAAAGAGGAGACGTTCGGCGTAACTGTTGAGTGAAGCAAAAGAAGGGAGAGGAAGCTAAGAATAGGAAAGGACAACAGTGACAGAGGGTGAGGAGAAAAGTTCGCTTTCAAGGACGAAAGGTAGTGTGGAGAGGAGAGAGGGAGACGCCTCTAAGTTCAAGTAAAAACAAAAGAGGAGATTTTCGCCCGGCGAGAGCAAGTCCCGTCTCGAGAGCAGCGGGAGAAGGAAAAAGACAAGGGTAAGGAAGGACAAGCGGCGACATAATCACGAATGGGCAGTCTTCTGGCCCCAGAAAGTGTTGTAAGGAGGACCTAAAAGACAAGGAGAGGTAAGGGCATGAGAGGTACAAGGTGGTAAAGAAGGAGAGAGACAGAGTAAGGAAGGAAAGTAAGGACAAAAGACAAGGTGGGTCAGGGGGGGCCGAAGGGCTACGACAAACAAGAAACCGTCACTCGCAGAGGAGAAGGGAGCGCAACAACTAAGCTCACAATCATTATCCCTACACGGACGGACCAGAGAACACAGGACCTCACTCAAGAAACACGGGTAAGTTCTCGCCAAACAGTTCAATCGAGTACACCTGGACCGAAAGAAACAAGTGCCCACGCGACAAGACAAGAAGGGGACCGAGGATTCTCCAAGGGAGCAGCCTACCATCCAAGCCGTCACCAGATCCACACGAAGACAAAGCGACAAACGAAAGAGCAGCTGCAGGCCATCATTAGCACACGACTCATTAACGTAACCCTCATCCTTTATTTATTTGCAATTCGTCCTCATTAAGATTTGTTAATACATATTCTTTTTACTATTTATTCAATTCATTATTTGATCCAAACCTGCGCGCAGCATGTGTCACGACAATACTATAAATTCGTCAATTTTTATCTTTAATCCTTTAATCCGTAATCGCACTTCCTCAACTACTAAACACCTTGATTCTAATAGAGTGGACACGATATTACGTGTACTCCTTACCTATCAGAGGATCAAACAATGATCCCATTCCCAGCTCCCATCCCACTTCCACTCTTGTATGAGAGTGGACACACCGCCCACCCCGACCTCATTATCCACGTAGATCCCGCCCTACCACGAGACTACCCCGAATTCCCTCACTTCACAAAATAACCCAATCTCACCTACATCCAGACCTTACCCCACCCCCACCCCTGCACAAGAGAGTTTACACCTTTCACCTCAATTCCATCTTCCACGCCGTTTCCGTTCTACCACGATACTAGTCCCAAGCCTAAATCCCCCACTTCAATTCCTGTCCTCATTTTAGGCCCCTCCCAAACCAATCCAACTTCAATCACATCCAGACCTCACCCTACCGTCACCCCGGCACGAGAGCAGCCACACCGCCCATCCCGACCTCATAGGTCGCGCCAATCCCGATCCACTACGAGACTAGTCCCGATCCCAAATCCCCCACCTCAATTCCTATTCTCATCCAGACCCCGCTCAATCTAACCCAATCCCAACCACTGCCAGATCCCTCCCCTTCCCCACATTCTCTCCAACCCCAGTTCGTTCTCACCAGCATTTCTTCTGATTCGTATCCTCTTCCCCCCCGACCTTACATCAGCCAAGACACGATCTCCTCACACCGCGAACCTACTTCAGCCCGGCTCCAGTCCCACTCTGCAATGGAGGGAATGGGAATAGAAACACAAAACTGGCTTGCAGAACAAACTAGAATGCCTCTCGTCAAAACAACTAGAAGCATCGACCACGGTGGAAACAACAAAGAGGAGGTAGTGGTTTACGAATGCTCGAAAGAATTGACATCAAAGCAGGAACAACTCCACCAAAAGCACGCAGTTCTGTTCACATTCTCCAAAAAAAGCCAGGAATTGGACAGACAAGCAAAATTAAAGTGGATCTGGGAAAAATTGAAGAGTCTGGAACAGATTCAAGGGCAGGAGCCAAAAGTGTCCTTCCACCCAAGGTCAAGAAATGTCATTATGGTCCTATGTATGGAGGAGGCTCTTGCATCTTTTCTAAAAAACAAATGCTTCACATGCAATTCATCAGTTGTTACTGTGCACCCATGGAAGCAGGCAACGAACTTCCAACAAACGCCATTCAGGTACAGGCAAGAGTTACTGAAAAAACACTTTTGGATTCAGTTCGACAGCGTGCCAGAGGGAATGCACGGTTGCATAAGGGAGAGAGTGCAAATGGAATTCGGTCACTACAAGGAAGCTCACTAGATAGTCTCAACGCCAGACTTCCTTACACCACAGCACAACCAGATGACGGTAGTCTTGGAAACAGGAGATAGCACCTTACCGTTCATCCCCGATGAATGGTTCTTCTCGCAGGAGAATAAAGTCACCAGAATAACAGTCTCCAGCAAAATCAACCCCCTCTGTTTCAAGTGCAGACAAAGGGGACACCTGGGCACAGACGCAAACTGCCCGCGAAACCCAAAGCGCTCAAAACAGCTAATCTGCAGGAAGTCGCTGGCAAAAAGGGATATTGGTACATCCCGGAGACGCAGTACGCAGGGTGGGTCTTCAATGATAAACTGGACACACTAGACTGGGTCTGGATCATTGATGGCGAACCGACCCCCAGGCCGGACGTTTATACCCCTTTCGACAGCAGATGGCAAACACTCAAAACAGGGAAAAAAGCGCCCAAAATCTTCACTAAGGATCCGGTGATAAATGTAGAAAAATTGAAACACGAGATTTGGGAGAACGATCTCCACGCAGATTTGCAAGCGGTGCAAGAAAACACCGA